AGGAAGTCTCGTACGAAACGCTCGTCTTGCATCTTCGAAGCGTGACTCTTGGAGGAAGTCTCGTACGAAACGCTCGCGTGACTGCTTCTAGTGTGTGGGCAGACCATGTGGCGAGAGGACGTTCGTGATGTCGCAGTGCCATTGGGATGTCGCGGCCTTGGTGGAGAGTGCGTTTGCGCGGTGCCGTGCCACTGGGAGCGCGAAACAGGGTGGCGTAAACGCGGCGTGTCGCTGGTGAGCGGGATGATTTGCGGTATCATGTGATATGTGTATGGGCAGACCGTGTGGCGACACGACGTTCGTGATGTCGCAGTGCCATTGGGATTTGCGCGGCCTTGGTGGAGAGTGCGTCTGCGTGGCGCCGTGCCACTGGGGAGCGCGAAACAGGCTGGCGTAAACGCAGCGTGTCGCTGGTGAGCGGGGTGATATGTGGTATCATGTGATATGTTTGCTTCAAGTGCGTGGGCAGACCGTGTGGCAACACGATGTTCGTGATGTTGCAGTGCCATTGCGATTTGCGCGGCCTTGGTGGAAAGTGCGTTTGCGTGGCGCCGTGCCACTGGAAAGCGCGAGACAGGCTGGCGTAATCGCGGCGTGTCGCTGGTGAGCAGTGAGCGGGATGATTTGTGGTATCATGTGATAGTTTTGCTTGTAGTGTATGGGCAGACAACGTGGCAAAATTACGTTCGTGATGTTGCAGCGCCGTTGGGATTTGCGCGGCCTTGGTGGGAAGTGTGTTTGCGTGGCGCCGTGCCACTGGGGAGCGCGAAACAGGGCTGGCGTAAACGCGGCGTGTCGCTGGTGAGCGGGATGATTTGCGATGTCAAGAGTGTCCCAAAAGACTGCCCCGCAAGAGCGACCACCAAGAGTGACCCACAAGAGTGTCCCACAAGAGTGTCCTACAAGAGTGTCCCATCAGAGTGCCCCACAAGAGTGTCCTATAAGAGTGTCCCAGATAGAGTGTCCCACAAGAGTGTCCCACAAGAGTGTCCCGTATGAGTGTCCCACAACAGTGTCCCACAAGAGTGTGCTATAAGAGTGTCCCACAAGAGTGTCCTACAAGAGTGCCCCACAAGAGTGTCCCACAAGAGTGTCCTATAAGAGTGTCCCACACGAGTGTCCTACAAGGGTGCCCCGCAAGAGTCTCCTACAAGAGTGACCCACAAGAGTGTCCGACAAGAGTGTCCTACAAGAGTGTCCCGCAAGAGCGTCCCAGCTTCTAGTGTATGGGCAGACCGCGTGGCGAAATTACGTTCGTGATGTCGCAGTGCCATTGGGATTTGCTCGGGCTTGGTGGGAAAAGTCTTTGCGTGGCGCCCTGCCATTGGGGAGGGCGAAAGATGCCGGCGTGTCGCTGGTGAGCGGGATGATTTGTGGTGTCAAGAGTGTCCCACAAGAGTGCCCCGCAAGAGCTTCCCACAAGAGTGCCCCACAAGAGTGTCCTACAAGAGTGTCCCACAAGAGTGTCCTGCAAGAGTGTCCCACAAGAGTGCCCCACAAGAGTGTGCTATAAGAGTGTCCCAGATAGAGTGTCCTGCACGTGACCCACAACAGTGTCCTACAAGAGTGTCGCACAAGAGTGTCCAACAAGAGTGTCCGACAAGAGTGTCCCATAAGAGTGTCCCACAAGAGTGTCCTATAAGAGTGTCCCACAAGAGTGTCCTACAAGAGTGTCCCGTAAGAGTGTCCCACAGGAGGATCCTGTAAGAGTGTTCCACAAGAGTGTCCTACAAGAGTGACCCACAAGAGTGTCCTACAAGAGTGTCCTACAAGAGTGTCCCACAAGAGTGTCTCACAAGAGTGTGCTACAAGAGTGTTCCGCAAGAGTGTCCTACAAGAGTGTCCCACAAGAGTTTCCTACAAGAGTGTCACACAAGAGAGTCCCACAAGAGTGTCCCACAAGAGTGTCCTACAAGAGTGTCCTACAAGAGTGTCCCACAAGAGTGTCCTGTAAGAGTGATTTGTGAGAGTCCCACAAGAGTGTCCTACAAGAGTGTCTCACAAGACTGTCCCACAAGAATGTCCGACAAGAGTGTCCCAAAAGAGTGACCCACAAGAGTGTCCCATAAGAGTGACCCACAAGAGTGTCCTATAAGAGTGTCCCATAAGAGTGACCCACAAGAGTGTCCTATAAGAGTGTCCTACAAGAGTGTCATGTAAGAGTGACCCACAAGAGTGTCCTACAAGAGTGTCTCACAAGAGTGCCCCATAAGAGTGACCCACAAGAGTGTCCTACAAGAGTGTCCCACAAGAGTGTCCCACAAGAGTTTCCTACAAGAGTATCCCACAAGAGTTTCCTACAAGAGTGTCCCACAAGAGTGTCCCGTATGAGTGTCCCACAAGAGTGTCCCACAAGAGTGTCCTATAAGAGTGTCCCACAAGAGTGTCATTTGGACATATGTAGCTTTTCCATCGTGCTTGCATTCGGTTCGTGGGCTCCATTTTAGGTCCCAAGCTTGAGTGATGTCAAGATTTTGTCCACGTTTGTCACAATCTATCTCGAAGGATGCTGCGCCCATCTCAACACAGGAGATGGTGATGCTCTCAGACAATAGACACGAATGTTGCCAGAAGAAGAGGAAGAAGAACGGAACAGAACCATTCAAACTTTCCTGGATGTGCTTGTGATTTGGATTTGATGCTGAGCCAAGGCCTTGGACTACATAGCCAAGTTTGACCCCTTACTGCACAAGCTGTATGTGATTTTGATATTTTCCACATCGGCACTTGTCCACTGTAGTACCTTTGAGGCGCGGACCCACAATGGGTGCTACGCGAGATGTGCGTATCCAGTGACCTCGGTTTGCCTATATTGTTCGCGGTGAGAGGACGCAGGACACTGCAATGCGACTATTTGATCTACAGTATGGTTTCATCATGTTTCATCCATTTCATGGTGGAGTTGTTGCCGCATGCGTTGTGGTTGACTGACAAGCGGCGAAGCTGAACAAGGTACGCGCGAGAGCTGCTGCAAAAGGAGCTTCTTCCCCACATCGGAAGGCCCCTGACCGGCTGACCTCCACAAGAGCTAGCAACAGCAAGCAGCTTGTTGTTTCAGCCCAGCACGCTGCGCAATCCTGAACGATTGATTAAATCCTGGCCGTGTTCAACTACACCCTTTCAAGTTTTATTGGAAGGCCGATACATATACTGCGCATATATATTGCGAAGATGACAAGCCCATTACATGAAGGTTCTGTGGCAAGCATATCATTTGTTGCGATACGGTACGTCACGTGCCCTAGGTTTGACAACTTGATCATGAGATCAAATCCCGCAGCCTTTTAGGCCTTGAGCGTTTGCGGTGGGCGCAAAAGGTGCTCACCCTGCTTCACTTAGGCTTTGACACTGGTAGGCGGAGCCTCTTTGGCTCGTCGGTGGCGCGCCATTTGGTTCTTTTGGACGATCTGACCCCACTTAGGGAGCTTCGTGTTGTGGACAGTTGATTGCCGTACAGAGCTTTCATTTGTCGTTGGCTGGACCAGGGCGATATTTGGACACTTTTATACCGGAATTGTTGATTCACGAGTATTGGTGGACTGTATCCTGTGGTGGTTGCCGTTGGATTTCATTGCACAATTTTGACATTGGAGCCCACAGTTTCACATTGCACGGATTTATTTGAGTTTCGAGGATGTCGAGCTCTTCAGGACAGTCGCTTTTTGTTGATCCCAAGTCCAACGTGGTCCACTATGATGGAAGCCCGAAGCTGGCTGAAGAATATGAGGAGAGAGTCTGGCTGGGATTCAAGACGGTCCCAAAAGATGACAAGGTCAGCTATGCCGCAAAGTTGAAGAACGCTCTATTTGGAAGAGCTTGGACCCTCTGTCGTCGCAAGCCGGAGATCGCGGCCCAGAAGCTCCTCCAGCTCAGCGAGGCCGAGGCGAGCGCCAATGCAGGTCCCAAGGCAGCAGTTCAGTTGGTGTTGAAGACGGTCAGAGCTGCATGTGAGAAGGTCGCTCCATTGTTGAAGACCCAGACCTTTGAAGATTACTTCTTCGACAAGGGACGGCGCCGCTTGGGAGAGAGCATCCAGGACTACGTCAGCAGAAGAGAGAGCGAGTATGAGAAGCTGACAGGACTTACACAGGGTCATACAAAGCTGTCCTTGGGCCTCCAGGCCTTTTTCCTTTTGAGGAATGCAGGTGTGAACCCAAGCCAGCACAGAGCCATTTTGGTCAGGGACAAGATCGTGGAGGCCATGCTCATTCAGCTTGATGGTGGAGATGAATTGACTGGCAAGGGATGGAAAGGAGGCTACAAGTCTCGCCAGCAGAACAGTTTTGGCTCGGGAGGAAAGCGAAGTTCTTGGGCCTTCCCCATCGAAGAAGAATGGTCAAGCTATGATGGAGAGACAGAAGAAGCCTATGCCATCGATGAATGGTACGCAGAAGAGCCCACGGATGATGACATCCCGATCTATGAGGTTGAAGAGGACATTCAACATGACATTGAAGAGATGGAGCATGCAGTTGAGATCATGGCAGTTGAGGATTTGACCAATGAGGAATTGGGTGTCTTCGCGGCTGCAATACAGAAGATGGGAAAAGGTGCCTCCGAGTATGCCAGAAAGAGGCAGGCCGTGAGAGATGGGAAGACCAATCGTGGTTTCCAACCGCAATCCAGTGCAATCGGCCACAACAAAATGGCAATTGCGTTGGATGGAAAGTTGACACTCAATCCAGGACAGCTCCAAGACAAGATCCAACAGGTGAAAGCTCGCACACAATGCTACGATTGTGGTCACAAGGGTCACTGGCGTGGCGATCGAAGTTGCCCCAAGAGCCCCGGGTCACCAAGTTCCAAGGGTGGCAAGAAAGGCCATGGGAAGAAAGGTGGCAGAAAGGGTGGCTTTTTGCAGCGAGCAGGGAGGGCAGCAGCAATGTTGGCATCAGCATCAGGTCAGTTGCTTCAGTCGTGCCACGAAGCATTGTCATGTGTTGGTGTGATGTGGATGAGTGTTTCGACTCGGCACTTCACATCGAAGGTGATCGTGAAATGTTTCCAAAGCTGAAGGACTATGATGAGGTGTTGAGCGAGGTGGAAGCCTACATGACCCAGAACCATGAGGCAGAAGCAATTCCACACAGCTTGACATTCATGAACAACACCAGCAGTGGAGCAGTTCCCGCAGGCAGATGTGTGGTGGACACGGCAGCGTTGATCGGTTGCGGAGGTGACCGCACTCTGGACAAGTTCGTTGAGCGGTTCGGAAGTGAGACAAAGCTGCAAGAATCCAACAAGGTGCTGAAAGGAGTGAACGCGGATGCCCCAGTGATGGTTCATCACCAGCAATGGATTGACATCAACATTGCAGGTCAGAAGGGCAGAGTGGCATTGCATCGCCTTCCCAACTCAGATGTTCCGTTGCTCCTTGGGCTACCTCAGCTCAGAGAATTGGGAGCGGTGATTGACCTTACAGCAACACCCAAGCCTACCATCCAGTTCACGACCATTGGTTCAGAGAAGGTGGAGATGGACTATGGAACTGGTGGACATTTGTTGCTGAACATTGGACAAGGTGGACAAAACAAGAAGTCTACACGGTTGGCAGGAGAAACAGTGGAGGTGTTTCATCAGTTGAAATCCAAGGACTTCAACGTGGAGGCCATCAGAATTATGAAAGGAAAGTTGAGGAGAAAAGTTCAAAAGATGGCAGAAGAGGCGAAAGAGCACGGCAGAGCCCTGTGGAAAGAACTTCGAAAGGGGAATCGTTCCCATGCGAAAAGGGTGATCGTGAAGGAGCTCTACAGTGGTGAAGACGGTGGAGTTGTGACAAAAGACAATGAGATGCCCGTGGGACGACCGCGTGATCTTTTGCTGGGAGACAGTTTCTTGAAGAAGGAAGATCGTGATTGGATTTTGGCGGAGATCAAGGTCGAGAAGCCGAGTCTTGTCACGATGGGTTTCAACTGTGATCCATGGACGCCCCTCAGCAATTTTCTGGATGAAGACACTCGAAGGGTACAGCAGGAGATTGCCCTCAATCATCTGGATTTTGTGAGACAAGTTTGTGAACTTCAGATTTCTGAGGGAAGACACTATTTGTTGGAGAATCCATTGGCGAGTCAAGCATGGAAGATTTTGTTGGAGAAGATTGAACATGTGCCACATTACACATCCCGCATGGACCAATGTATGTGTGATCTGAAAGACATCAATGGAGATTTTGTTTTGAAGCCTACACGCTTTGTCACTTCGTCTCCGGTGTTGGCCTCAATGTTGACATTGAGATGCACAGGAGATCACGAACATGCACAAGTCCAAGGTCTTGGGGTGAAAGATGGCAAGAACATTTCCTCCATGCTGGGACAGTGGACACCCCAACTTGGTGTCATGATCCTAGAAGGCATTCAGCGACAAGTTCTTTTGGAAGAGAAGTGTGGAGAAGTCAAGTACTATCTTGAAGAAGAAGATGTTTACCACAATGCACTTCAGAGAAGCTCGGATGTCATGTTTCGGCAACGGGAAGAAGAAGAACTACAGACTTGGGAAGAAGTTCCCGTGCTTCTCAGAAGTGCAATCACTAAGGGGCATCGACAGTACTCCCACTCCCTCTATAAGGAGAACTTCAGCCGACATTTGAAGTTGTCAGGTGCATCAGATCAAGCAATCAAAGCAGCGTCCTTGTTCACCTGCCCTACGTGTGAGAAGGAGAGAAGAAGTCCAGCACGACCGATGGCCGCAGTTCCAAAGTATGATCATTTCAATCAGTGCGTGGCCATGGACCATAGCTCACATCACTGATCAAGATGATGTGACGCACTCCTTCCTGCTCATGGTGGACATGGCAACATCATATACTCTTGCTTCTTACTTGTGCTCAGGTGAGACTCCAGGTCGACCAAGGAAGCCACAATCCTCTCAATGCCGCAAGTCTCTTGTTGACTGGATGGAAGTCTCCGGAAGTCCGGACCGAGTTCAAGTCGATCAAGATGGGTCGCTGAGAGGTGATTTCCGTGAGTTGCTAGATCGTTTTGGCATTGAGGAGATCTTGGTGGCAAGAGATGCACATTGGAGTCATGGTGTTGTGGAGCGAAAGATTCTCACTGTGAAGGAGATGATGATGAAGGTGGCTCACGACAGTGAAATCAAAGGTGCCATATTGACGAGAGTCGCTGTGGTGAATTGTGTACAGGCCATCAACAGGCTGTCCAATCACAGTGGATTTTCGCCAGCCCAGCGTGTTTTGGATTTTCAGCCAAATTTACCGGAGATCATGGGCGACAGCAGAGGAATTCCCAAGACAGATCACGATGATCATTTTGCCATGGCACAGCGGATGAAACTACTTCAGGACTGTGAACACGCTTTTGTGAAAGCCAATCATTCCGCATCTCTTCGTCGCGCCCTACTTTCTCAAACCCGACAGCAACCAGGTCCATTTGACATGCACTCGCTGGTGATGTACAAGAGAAAAGGATTGAAGCATAAGGCTTACAAGCAGTGGCGTGGACCGGCGCGGATGATTGGGAGAGATTTGCATGGATACTGGATTATCCACAGAGGCACCCCTATTTTGGCACATCCACACAACATGAGAAGGGCCATTGCAGAAGAACAAGAATTGATGTTGGAGGATGAAGGAAGTCTCCTACCGAAGAATGGACAACAAGGTTTCCTAGACCTCTCAAAGCCGCAGGATCCCATCGACCTGGAAGAGGAGAATGAGTATGAACCTACAGAACCTCCAGATGAGAACGATGTGGAGTCGCCTAAAGCAGCAAATGAGATGGCAGCAACATACCAAGAAGAGGGTACTTCAAGTGGTGAAGAATCTCGTGAAGTTAGAGCCATGAGGAAGATTGAGAGGGAAGAGAAAAGGAAACGTGAGACTGAGGAGACAAAAGAGGCTGCTGACGATGATGATGATGAAGAAGCTCAGAGGATCAAAAGTCTTCGTCGCCCAAAGAAGACTGAAGAAAGTTCAAGCAAGAAGAGGAGGAAGAGCAAGAAGAAGCTGGAGAGCTCAAACCAACAGAACATTGAGGAACAGCCTGTTCCTCCTCCTGAAGACTCTCCAAGTATGCCTTCCCTGATTTCTCAAGACGATGAACACAAGAGGAAGAGAGATCTACTCCTTGATGACGTGCCTGAGTCAGTCCGTGGTGTCATTCGAAGAAGGCTAGAAGAAAAGGCCGAAAGTGGACAAGAAGACTCCCAGAGATTCCTGACTCCTGAGGAGAAGGAGACCATGTGTGTTGCCTTCCTAGCTGAAAGATTGGACGCCTACACCAAGCACAACAAACACACGGAATTGAATCCACAGAAGATGAAGGCACAACTTTCTCAGTTCACGGAGGAAGAGATCGAGGAGGCGATGCAGAAGGCGGTGGAGAAAGAAATCGGGACATGGCAGAAGTTTGATGCCATTGAAATCATTCCTCCAGAGCCAAGTCAGCAGATTAGAAAAGAAGCTCCAGAGAAGGTGATATCTTCAAGAGGAGTGTGGACAAAGAAAGATGATGAAAAGCGAGAAGCAAATGAGAAGGAGGAGCTGGTTTTGAAGTGCAGGGTTGTTGGTCGAGGATTTCAAGAAGAATATGATGAGTCGCTCAGGCGAGATTCACCAACATGTTCAAACCTGCTTGTTCAGATCGTTTGCAGTTTGGCATCCTCTCGCTTCATGAAGCTCACAGCTGCTGATGTGCGTGGTGCTTTTCTTCAAGGTTTGAAGATCGACAGAGAGCTTTATTTTGAACCTCCCAAGAACCTTGGAAAGGCTCAGATTCCCGGAGTTCAACCTGGTTCGTTGTTGAAGCTCAAGAAGTCGATTTATGGTGTAAATGATGCTGCACGACAATGGTACCATTCCATCAAGGGAATCCTCCTACGACTTGGCTGGGAAAGTCTGACATTTGAGTTGGCGGGTTTTGTGCTTCGAGACCCTACAACACGAGAGTTGATCGCAATCCTGGCACTACATGTTGATGATGTCCTCATTGCGTGGAATGAAAAGCAGTTTCCAGATGAATGCAAATCCACGCAGGAGAAGATGCAGAAAGAAGTTGAGTGGGGACAATGGAGGACGGACGGCGCATTGAAGTTTTGTGGACGGTCCTACACCCAGGAAGAAGATGGAACAATCCATGTGCATGCACAAGAGTACATCGACACCATGAGCACCTACAAGGTCAGCATAGAACGTGGCAAGGACAACAACGCATCTTTTGACCACAGGTGAGTTGAAAGCTTTCAGAGGACTGTTAGGTCAACTACAGTGGTATGCACGGATCATGGGCTATGCAATTGGTTTTCAGGTGAGCAAACTAGCCAGTGAAGTCAAGGACCTGAAAATTTCCAGTCTCAAGGAGGCAGCAAAGCTGGTTCGTGAGGTGAAGCAATACCACAAAGATGAGGAGTTGATTTACAGACCAGGAATGTCCTGGCAACCGGAAGACATTTCAGTGGTTGCAGTTCACGATGCTTCATTCAACAATCTACCAGGACACAAAAGCCAGGAGGGATACTGGTTGAGCATTTCCACACCACAGATCATGAAGGATCGGACTACAGTGCACCATATTCATTTTGTGCATTGGACATCTTCGAAGATCCAACGTGTGGTGAGGTCTACATTGAGTGCTGAAGCATATTCCTGTTCGGAAGCTTTGGATGCCCTCAGTTGGCTTCGTGCTACAGTTCTGGAGATTTTGCATGGTGATTTGGACATGAAGCAATACAAAGAGCACCTACACCGAATTCCTGGAGTGACGGTCACGGATTGCAGATCCCTCTATGATTGCATGAGGTCGGAGCGAGCGCTTCTCTCAGACAGAAGGTTGTCGCTTGAAGCAGCCATTATCCGGCAGAGTTTACAAGAAGGGATTGAATGCAAGTGGGTCCCATCAGAACAGCAGTTGGCCGATGCATTGACGAAGGCCTTACATCGGAAAGGATTGGCTTACCTGAACGATGCGCTGTACTCAAACAAGTGGACTCTTGGACCAGACCCTCGTCTTCCAGAGACTTCAAGAAGCCGGAAGCTTGAAAGCCCAGATGAAAAGCCCAAGCCGGAGAAGGTTCAGGATCATGAAGGAGCAGCAACAATCAACAAGATGCCTATTGAGCTCGAGGATGATGAGATCATTGACAGCCCCAACACAACAGCCTCAGCATCCAATACATCCTCAGGCAGTGGTGTGAACGCGAAAGCAGTACTGATGTTATCATGTGCGCAGCAATTCCTTCCAGCAAATGCAGAGCAAGACGTAAGGACGATTTTGCCCTCATGGTCATGGGAGTTGAGTTTTGCGCGCTTGATTATTGTACTGACAGCAGTTCTTTGGTACAATACAGTTGAGTTCACAAAGCTGCTTGGATGGTACGAGGACCTGGCATTGTACAAACAAGGCGCTCTTGTTGCAACAGTGACAATGCTGACGGTGGTACTAGGGATGAAGGCAACAGTATCACAGAATTCGGAATTTCCCACAGTGTTGTTGGGAGCAATGTTGATCATGATGGTGATGATTGTGAAGAGGATTGATGAGAAAACGACGACTACAAATCTCATCCTGGGAACAGAAAGAAGAAAGACTCAGGAGTTGTTCCATGCTGGACTAACACAGATGTTTTCCGAGAACAACATCATGCTGACCAACATGGACGGGATGAGGCGTGCAGTCAATGAAGACTTCAAGAAACTCTCCAATTTCATCAATGACAGCAATCGCTTCACATACCAGAAGATGGATGACATTTCCGAGGAGCACAATTACAGAATCACAAAGGTCATCGATCGTCTGATCCGGATTGAGTACAAGCAGGAACGACAGGAGGTGAGAGCACTTGATTTGGAGAGGAGATTGAAGCAAAAGAAGAGAAGGAGAACACCATCGATGAGCTCGGAGGCAAAACGAGAAATCCTACAGAAAAGGCAAGACCGCCGTGAGGCACCGGGAACCCCAATAGAGTCCGAGGTGATGAGTTTGCTGGAATCGCCAACACCACAGGAGTTGTTTCCAGATCCGGCAGGTGATGGTCGGATTGCACCCTTTGAAGAACGAGAAGAAAATTATGATGAGTATGAGGGTGGACAAGGTGACAAGGAGTCACTAAAGGCGACTGGCATGAGTCAAGAACGCTGGGACTCGATGACATCAAAAGAGAGAAGCTATTTTCTTTTGACAGTTTCCTGGGAGGCGGCTTGTGTCTATGAAGACAGGGAGCAGATGGGTCTAATTGTTGAGCAGATGAGAGTGCTTGCAGATGAGATCAACAACGAAAAGTTGGCTTCCTTGTCGGGCGTTAGCAGCTCGCATCATGATGTGCATGGCACAGAACCTCCACAGAACATTGAGGAATGTGAAGATGATAAGCCCATTACATGAAGGTTCTGTGGCAAGCATATCATTGTTGCGATACGGTACGTCACGTGCCCTAGGTTTGACAACTTGATCATGAGATCAAATCCCGCGGCCTTTTAGGCCTTGAGCGCTTGCAGTGGGCGCAAAAGGTGCTCACCCTGCTTCACTTAGGCTTTGACAATATATATGTATACACATATTATATATATATTATATGTTTGATTATGTTGGTATACACTGCGCATGAAATAGACACCGCTGCCAGGTATTGTGCATTGTACTCATTCAGGTCGTTTCGCGACACTGGGTATGGCCTTGAGGTCGTAGACATACCCTGGTACAGTCCGACTGCAATTTGTCATTTGTTATCACGAAAGCGATAAAGCGATAAAGCGATAGGCTAGGTGAGAGTTGTTTTTGCGAACGAAGTGGGCTGGTCTATACCCCTGCGCCCCTGCACTCCCAGACCATATAGCACAGCACCTCTAAATCAAACGTTGCTCCTCATGTTTTTGCATCTCTTCTCCCATCACTTCTCTTCCAAGACAAAGATAATGCAATGTCATGCAAGACGCGCTGATGCTACTGCTACTGCTAGCGCTCAACAAAAGAGACAGTCACAAGCAAGGAAAGCACACCGTGGCAGCTCAAGCCTTGCGTGGGTCAAACCAAGAGTGCCAACTGGTGCTGCACGTCAGCCCTGACAATTGATCCAACGCAATTTGGAACTGAACATCGTTGAAAGCGACTGTCACTGACTGGGTGCAGGCTTTCAAACGTGGTGGAACACATGCAGTTCCAAGGAGAAGCTCCAAAAAAAACATTTTTTTGATTCAGCCCATGATTTCGCAGTGGGGCTCAACAGGAGGTTGTGCGCAAAACCCAACGAAAATACCCAGGATAGACATCTACAAGGACAAGGATCAAAGATGATCAAAGCCAGTGAAGGCTCATTTTTGAGAGCAATTACAAGGAAAGATCACATTGCAGGTGCCCTCAGAGCAACCATGGGAGTTGACTGCTCGTCCACAACAATATAGGAGAGATTCAGGCATATTCTGGCTCACGGCTCGTATATGCTATATATAGTCATAGCATATGTGTCTTCCTCAGTTCAACCGTCGATGTTTGCAGGTGTTTTGTCTGTCGTGCTGCTGGGATTGCCTTGTAGGTTGTCCATTGTGCTTGAGCAGTCCTCATCTTTACCTGATGCATGTCCTTCCTCATTATCGGCTCGGTATTTTCTGCCGTGTTATATTGGTTTTATGGCCTTTTGCTTTCTCACGCCGTTTATTACGCGCAATGCAACAGGCATGCTGCATGGGTAACGCACCAGTCATGCAGTTTTAATATGTTTTAATTGGCCGGAAAGACATTGGTCCCGTGCTTTGTGTACCCGGTCCCGATTTGGCATTGTTTCTCTACAGGTGTTCATTTTCTGGCAGTTTCCTTTGCTTCCTCGACGACTTCGACAGGACTCGCAACATTGAGGGACGCAAAGCGTACTTCATTGGTTACATGACAAATCGTTTGTTGCTGGGTCTGCGTCCCGGTCAACTCCCCGAGGCTGGAGATTCGACAAATCGATTCGGTTTACGTTCATCCGAGGTTTCTTGGGCCGAAATCCAGAAGATGACCGAGATCACTTTGGAAAAAAGCGGATGCTTGTTTCGATCTATTGTGTTCTATTGTCTATCCCGCAAACTTGAACCAACCTGGTGCAGGCACGCGTCAGGACTAGATATTTCAAAGCTATCAGTTCATAATCTTCCAAGCTCAGGATTGACTTGGCTGGTGCATTGGCCTGCTGCCTGGATGTTCGTCAGAGTGAGTTGATTCATTTTGATTCCACTTATTATGATTATTGTGAAGACTTGTTCGCTGGTCAAGGTGTCTGCATCTTTTACTGGTTTGTGGCGAAAAACCATCAAGGTCGATGGGTTCGTGCAGCTGCTTCAACTCGTGGCAATTAGCCCACTTGTCTTCTTGAGCAAAGTGCTTCAGGACTTCAGAAAAGTGCTTCAGCGCATGCTCAATAAAGGCAAGATCCCGGATGACATCCAGCAGTGCCTAAAGCAGGCGGATCTTTGCACGAGCAGGTTGAAACAGTGCAACAGAGGCAGTCGATTTTGAGGTCCTCCAAAAAGCATCCAGTCCTTTGGTCCTTTTTTCTCAGTGACCACCAGCAACTAGAGGAGGGTGTTCAATTCACAACCTTGAGCAATATTATGCGAATATACATTTGTACATATATGTGTATACTTTTGCTAAGCCTCCCCATGACCTACCCAAAGTTTGGTTTCCAAACTGTTTTCATGTCCTTCTTTTCTCGTGGAAGACACCTCCTTTAGAAAAGAATCCCTTTGCAAGAGGGTTCTCCTGTTTTCACAAACCTTTTTTGAACTACATTTGGTCTATTCCTTTCCTTAATCTCACTGAGATGGTTTCCCTTGAAAAAAACAACATTATCCCGGCAACAGACCCCAAACTGTGTGTGTGTGTGAGGTCTAGAGGTGTAGCAGCAGAAAGTCTAGAGATCTAGACGCATTGGGGTCCAGAGAGGTGATGGTGATGATGAAGGTTGAGATCGTGGTGGTGGTGGTGGTGGTGGTGGTGGTGAGTGAGTAAGTGCGAGTGTGGATGTGAGTGTGAGTGAGTGTCAATGTGAGCGTGAATGTGAGCGTGAGTGAGTGAGAGTCAGAGTAGAGTGAGAGTGAGCGTGGGTGAGAATGAGTGTAAGCGTGAAAGTGAGCGTGAGTGAGAGTGAGAGTGGGAGCGAGTGAGAGTGAGCATCTGAGCAGCATCTGAGAGCACAAAGTGCTGCGCCTCCCACGAAATCTGCACTCTGAGGTTCACAAAGTGCTGCGCTTGCCACAGAATCTGCACTTCGAGGTTCACAAAGTGCTGCGCCTGCCATGAAATCTGCACTTCGAGGTTCACAAGGCGCTGCGCCTGCAAGTTCTCACAGTGCTGCGCCTACCACGAAATCTGCAACAAAATCTGCACTTCGAGGTTCACACTGCGAAGCCCTGACAAGGCGTTTTGCCACAAGAGCGCTTCCAAAGACAAGATCAAGATATCAAAACGCAGCTTTCGCGCAAGACTTCCCCCTATTTCTGGAAACGACCCACGAGTCCAAAACTCACGGTTCATCGCACCTGTCACGAAATTTGGGCACGTCGAAGATCACCACCACGTCCAAAGTACTGCGCCTGCCACGAAATCTGCATTTCGAAGCAAAACCGCTCCGATCCCTTGCACCTGCCACGAAAAGTGACCACCATGTCCGAAAATGCGCGCGACGCCACAACGAGAGCGCAGTCGCGACAAGCGGTCGCTGCGGACAACCAGTTTTGCGAGCCTGCGCAATCGAAGTGCACTTCGAGGATTTCGAGAGGCATGAAACTTGAAGTTTCCTGTGTAAAGTACACCTCATATGTATATAGGCAGAGTTCATGAACATTGTACTTTTGGCTCAAGTAGAAAAAGGAGCGCCCGCCGGCGCACTCAACTTGTTGACTGTTTGGTTGTTGTTGGGTTGGTTTCCACTTCTAGTGGTTATCAGCCGTATCGGCTTGTTTGATTGTTGTTCTTTGCTTTTGGGGGAACAGCATTCATTTCATTTGAACACTCGGTCCTCGTGCATGGACGCGGATCTACCTCGACCTCATCGAGGTGTCAGATCCGGAGCTGCCGCAAAGCGCCGGCGAACGGCGCACGCAAGGAACGTATCAGAGTAGACTGGTATTCCTTTTGAAGAGGCGCCTATCGTTCACACAGGTGGACAATCAAGGAATCAAGGCCGCTCTACACTCCTCGTATCTGGGACAACGAGAGTTCTGGTTCGGACGAGGACGGTGCGTCGGAGGGTGCTGGGCCTGCGGTGGTTTTGCCAAAGGCCAGGCCCTTGAGTGTTGCGACGGCTGAAGTGGTCAGGCTTGTTCCTCGTTCAGCTTGGTTCCAACAAGGTCGAGCAAGCGTTGAGTGGAGGGGTCTTGGTGGTTTGGAGGGCCGCAGGGCTGTAGCGGCATTACTTGGGTGTGCTTTGGAGTAGGAGGACTTAAAAATGATTTGTAACTTACTTGCAAATTCAATATGTTGCTCAGAACCTGTCTAACTAGACTAGAAGTAGTGTAACTTCTGAAGACTTCTGCAGAAAGTTACAAGTTACTTAGGAATTTGTTCCAATATATTTCCCCTAACTTAATGGAAGCTATTTTGAACTTATTTTGAAGTTATTTTTCGCAAAAAGCTTGTTTGTTTTCTGTTTGGTTGATAAGCAAAAGTTGCGCCGCTGAACCAACCTCCTCAGTTCATAACTGTTTTTCGCTTGCCATTTTCATTGCGGTTTTCGCCGTTTCAGGATGAACGGAAATGTTCACATTTCAAGTTTCCGCATCAGATTTCATGTCACCACATCACTAAAAAGGAGTGTGTACTAGTGAATAAACAGCCTGCCTGGGCTTGTTTCTTCAGAGCACTGACTGAAGCTCAAAGACATGACCTATAGCAGCCAAGCCAGTGAAGCACATGGTAAAGGTAAATCTCACTTTTAAACAAATTGTATTTCTCATTCTTCAAATTTAGGGGTGGCCTGGCTCTGCGTTTTCAAGAAGGTGAATATAAAGTAGTTCTGCATGGTTGCCGATGCCTTTAGAAAGGACACGCAAATCAAACTTGAAAAAATTGTGAAATGTCAAATTCACTTTTTTTTCAAGTTACACCCAAGGTGCTGGTGATGCAGGTCCCCGCGTAACTCGCGCCTTTTTGACCGCAAAAATCAGCAAATTACAGGAAGCCACCCGTATACCACCGTATACCGTCCGTATACCATCCGTATACCATGCCAGGATCCCAGCCGTATACCACCGTACACCGTCCGTATACCAGCCGTGTACCATCCGTATACCATGCCAGGATCTCAGCCGTATACCACCGTATACCGTCAGTATACCAGCCGTATACCATCCGTATACCACCATGGCCCCGTCTACACTACCGTCCGTATACGACCCGTTTACCACACCCCCACCCTCCCCCTGTCTTCAAAGTTTCCAGGTATTTTTTCAGTTTTCCATTGAGCTCTTTTCAGGGACTCAAGCAGGGACGGACTAACAAAAGGAGGTGCAGCATGGCGCAGTTAAAATTTTGTGGGGCAATGGGGGACGTGCAGTCTTGATTCCTCAGAAACAAGATGCCTACGGGGTTCTGTTCTCACCGCTTGTTTTATTCAGGCTGTTGCGTGAAAATGCGGCGCTCACCGCTGGTTTACATCATGTTGTAACATGAAAGTGCGGTGTTCACCGCTGGGTCTACACCAGGTTGTTGCATGAAAGTGCGGTGTTCACCGCTTTGCGCTGAGCAGGTTGGTCTCAGCGAGCGGCAATGATGTTGAAAAAATATTGAAAAATAGTCCATCTGGTTTCTTGGATTTTCAAAAGTTGAAGTTTTTGGAAGTTATTTCCAACTTACACAGAAGTTATTTGGGTTGTTTTCTTGAGGACAATAACTTCCAAATAAGATAGTTGCAAGTGCCGCAACTCAAAAGGCACACCCAAGTACAGACTGCAGGAATTGTTCATCCGTGGTCCAGGCCTTCTGAGTCGACCGGAGTTCCGTCAGTGCCTCATTCGCAGAGCCGGTTCGTGTTCCGCCACCGCCTTCGGTTCCGCCCAGGAGGGTGTGTTGGAGTCAACTCCGGCTTCATCAGGTTCGGCGCCAACATCGATTGCTGCGCCTCCAAAGGCTAAGGTGGTGATCAGGCCAGCTGCAGCTAAGTTTTGGCCGGAAGCGAAGGCTCCTACTTCATCCAGTGTGACCTCATCAGTTGTTGCGCCTCCCAAGTCGGCAACAGTGGTTGTTTCTCCGGGGTTGTGGTTGGGCCTCCAAAGAAGTCGTTACCCAAGGCAAAGGGTACAGCGGTTGCAAAGCCTATTTCGGAGGCAAGTTCATCAGTGGCAGAGCCTAAGGCAGAAGTGATCGTTCCCACCGGGCGTGTGGTTCCGACCAAAGCTGCAACAAGTTTGGAAGAGGGTGTTCCAGAGTTGCCATTTGAGGTCCCGGAATTGGGTTCTTTTGCAGACAGTCCATCCGTGCATGTCGGTTGAGCCTTCGGATTCGGCCGTGCTGCCATCGAGCGATCCGGTCACTCCATCCGTGTTGATTGAACCTCCCAAGTCGGCAGCATTGATTTCAGGACCTCCAGAGCCAGTGCCGAAAGTGCCACCGTTCTTGCCGTATAATCTGACTCCAAAAAGGGTGTCCAAATCGCCCCGTTTGAGCAGACGGCCATTGTCGTTTGGTTGACAAGACCTCGTTTGCGCGTATCAAGCAGCATTAGACACCGACAGGTACTCCCGGCATTACGCCGAAAGACCCACCAGTGAGGGCATCCCGCCCAGGCGTATCGAATCGTTGAACCATCTCAGGACTGAGGCTGGCAACGCTGGGAATACAACCGAGTTGATTGTCTGCTCGCACATCGAGCGCTCTCAGGCCAATTTGGAGAATCTTTTGTATCTTACGGAGTTGTCCAATTTGCCCATTCGTTACACCCTCATCGCCGAGCAGCGTTGTGGTCCAGCAGGCAAGCTCGCAGCTTGTCAGGCCCTTTCGTCAGGCCTTGCATTCATCTACGACGACAATCCGGAGATCGTGACTGAATTTTGGGGTTCCGGCCAGGTAGTTTTTCAGGTGAGAAAGCCAAGGGCCGAGGTTGTTGCTCCGCATCAGTTCTACGATTGGTCCTGTTCGTCAGCCTACGCCCGAGATGTTCATTCGTACCTTCTCATTGGCCGAAGATCCAAGCCAGGCCTATCATGTGCCTAAGGCTGCTCCGGGGAGTGCATCCCGTTGAGCGTTCGGCGAACCCTGACTGGCTGCTTTAGCGCCGCAGGAGTAGAAAAGTGCATATTGCCTTGAGTTCGCGAGTCGTTCGATCGGTTGCATTGTTGAATCTTTAGTTTGTTGAGAGCGGTTACTGATCCAGAATCATGCCAGAAGAACTGTCATCATCATTGAACGTCAGTTCAGACACTACTATTGGTGGTTTGGCAGTTGCGGTTAGGAGCAGATCTCAA